TCTCTCAAACATTCAAACCCATTAAACACTCCAAATAGACCTGGACCATGTTAAAATCTGATCCCCAAGCAGGAAATTCTAGAATTACTCTGAAAATTATTGGAGTGGGAGGAAACAGTTTTCTCCTCAGTTTCTTGTCAACTTTTTTTTTTTTTTTTTTTTGTGTGTGTGTGTGTGTGTGTGTGTGAGATAATCTGTCACCATCAGTCTGGACGCGTTGCTTGCTCCTGGGTGCTTGGGGAGAAGGACGCAGCCTCTGGACAGGCAGCTCACTTCCTCCCCTGGACCTCTCCAGGGCTGGAGTCCTTTACTGAGTGCTGATTCCTCTGAGCTGCCAAACTCCTGCTGAATTCAGGGAGAGAGCTGAGAGGTTGCTACTGGCTGCAAGCCCTTGAGACCATTTATTTCCATGGAATAAGCAGGATGCTCAGAGTTGGAAACAGTTGGGAGCTGACCTGCTCCAGGCCTGAATGCCCAGGCTCCCTGTGGGCTTGTGTCCTCACACAGGCACATCCCACGTTCGCTTGTCCTCCTTCCTTCCTGTGCCAGACACGGTTGTCCAGATTGGACACTTGCCTTTCAGGAGTTCAGAAGCACCGCTCTTGTCTCCCCATGACTCACTGCTGGCCTCGTGTCCTGTTTTTCGGGACCTGGGGCCAAGTCTTTTAGTACAAGTCCCCTCCTTCAAGAATCCAGGACCCTCTGTAGCACTGTCCACAATGCACAGCATGTGTCTAATAACACTAATTAATAAGCAATCATTTATTAATAACACCAGAATTATCATTGCCTACGAGCTAGAAAACCAAACAAACTCCAGCAGGCTGACCACGTAGTGAGCACAGCACTTCAGAGACAGGAGGAGAGAGGAGCTAAGGGAATATTTGCAAGGGAACTTGGACAAAATGCTCTGGGCCTGCAGCCTTGGAGGCTGGATTTGCAATCTATTTGGGAGTAAGGAAGGTGGGGACTTAGTGACTTAGAAAAGAACACACTGGGAGCAGGGTGAAGACTAGAGAATTTGACCCACCTGAAGTCCTGGCTGGGGAAATAGCGGAAATGTCTCATGTCCGATTCCAGCATCTTGGGCCTAGCTTGAGTGTCTTTTCCTCTTTCCAGGGTTGGTTGATAGAGTGGTGGGAACTCCAAAAGAAAAACCCATTTAATAGATGTAGAAACTGAGGCCATTGATTATTATTATCATTTCCCAAAGATGATTGAAAAGTGAAGAAGTAAATGAAGGGCCTATGAAGACAAAGCTAAAAACCTCTGAGCCAAAGCAGCCCCTGTTTGTATACCAAGAGTCATTTGGGGTGGCAGGAATGGGTATGTCCAATCTGTTTATTTATAGACCCTGACTTTATAGGCATAGTCTTTTTAATAAATGTGCAGTTGCATATCTTTCAATAAATAACAATAAACCAACTTGCTGTGAGTATTACATGAGATACTGCATTAGCGTCCAGCCACATACTAGTCTACCTGGCAGGAGGTAATAGTGCTAATGACCAGGCCTAATAGCTAGTAATACCCTGGTAAGGACAAGCCGCTTACTTATGGCCCATTTCTAGTCTGATTGATTGGTGCCTGGACCAGCTGAGATATTAAATATTTTAAATTCCACCCTGATAAGAACAACTGAAACTCTTTTTATTGTAGACTTTGCATGTGCCATTTGCAATAATAGGTGCTTTTGATATAATTCTCAAAGGCAATGTTTGGGGATGGTACTGTGATCATTCCCATGTTATGGATGAGAGAACTGAGGCTTGGGATGTTAGTAACTTGGCCTAGGTTTCAAAGCCAACAAATGGTGGAGCTTGAGATTTCCTGAGTCTTGGGATCTCAACCATGATGCTGCTAAGTCAAGGGCTTGCAGGGGCAACTTGCAGCAGATCATTCTTCTTATTGTTTTTACTCATAACATTTTTCCCTGAATGTCATGGACAGCTTATCCTTTGGATTGGTATTTTGTTTTTCTGCTTTGCTGAATGCACTGGTCTGGCACATTTGAGAAGTCTGGAACAGTCCTCAGCCTGTTTTGCTCTCCCTGTGAACTGGGTACAGATCTCAGCCACTCAACCGAGGGCTGAGGGCAGATCGGGCTCACAAGAGAACCTTCTACTTAAATGACCTCTGGTTAAGGCCCTTCTCAACCCAGGTCAGTGATGAAAGCCTGGGATCTCGAGGGCTTCCATTGTGCCTCCCGAGTCTTCCCTTAAAAATGTAAGCATCATTGCTGACATGGTCCCTTCATTTGGGTGAACTCCTGATAATGTGTTTTTTTTTTTTTTTTTTTTTGCTTGTGACTACATTACATGTTTGCAAGGAGACCCGACTTAATTCTCTTTGATGTTTTCTTTCTCTGCTATTTTGTACATATCCATCCTCACAAATCTGCAGCGATCCAGGGGAATGCTGGATCTCCAGAATGAGCAGAGTGGTAGTAGTTAGCTAAAATGATATGGAGGAATGGGGTAAATTGAGCCCAGAGATTTCATGATGAAAGGCAGACTCAAAAGATACACTGGAGTTATTGAAAGATAAGAAACACTTAAAAAGCCTAAGAAATGACTAAATGGAACAAAATGGTAATAACAAGTATATTCAAAACATACACAGTAAAGTAGGCCGGAGAGCAAAGGGGCTAAAAAAGTATGTGATGGTGGCTATAGTCACGCCCTGATGAGCTAAAGCATTAACAGTGACATGATGAAATAAAGGAATGCCAACTATAGGGGGCAGTCCAAAGTTAATAATCCTGTGCAGGGGCAAAGGCAGACCTTTGGGCTGAGGTGGAGAATATTCGTGAAGGACTTCTTTGGGTAGGTGTTCCTGTGTGTATCTTACTGGATTCTCGCAGCGGTCCTAGGAAGTCAGAACAGGTGTTATCTCCATTTTATAGATGATGATGTTGAAACTCAGGGAGGAAGAAGAACATTATCTAAATCGCATGGCATTTAGATGGCTCAGCTGGGACTGGAACCCAGGTTCGTCTCAACCTGGAGGCTGTCCTCTAGACATTCAGTGGTCTTCTTGCTGTGCTATCCCTGCTAGGCTAGTGTTTGCCAGAGACCGCCCATGGGGCTGGCACCTGCAGGGTTCTCAGTGCTGAGCCTCCCTTTGAGCTCATTCCCTCAAACCCCATGAGTCCCTCAGGTTTCTTCCTGCTGCTCCCAAAGGTGAGCATACAGCTGCCCTGGTTGTTTTCACTGTGCCTTCGGAATTTCCTTCCACTCTTGAGTCAAATAGGGTGCACAGGCTTCAGGGAAGGCCTAGGAAAGATGTAGGGCCAGGGCAGTTCAGGTCTAGAGCAAACAGGTGGGAGAGCAGATGCTAGATATGGAATTAATCCATTAAAGCATATTTGTTTGTGTTCCTGTATGTGCTGGGAACACTGAAGATTGGTGGGGGGGCGGCGGAAAGCAGACACAAGAAAATGAGATTATGATTGAAAGGTAAAATAGACTGAAAAGTGGACTAGTAATACTAGAATTGCTGGACCAGGCCAAATTGCCACTGGTCCATCTAGGACCAGACCAAATTGCCACTAGTCCAACAAGCTTGCCTTGGGATACCCATCTCTAGACCAAAATAATCACTTGCTAATTGACAGTCCCAGAGAACTTCCTTTACGTTGCTTTCTTGACTGTTATATGTCCTTGCTTCTCCATTGTGGGCTCCTTGGGGCGGGAACTTGAGTAGACTCATGGGGTGTCCTGTGAACATGATGTCTGTACTATTAAAGTTTGTGGGGCTGGAGAAATGCTAGGATGCTGGGAGAATGTCCAGTGAAGAGCAGAAATACAAGAGCTACTATCCTGCATGGGAGGCAAAGTAGAACTGTGGCTAAGCCAGTAGGCTCTGGAGTTGGGATGACCCGAGTTCAGTTTCATTCTTAGCAATTTCCAGCTGTGTGACCTCAGGGAACCTCTGTGAAGCTTAACTTCAATTTACTCAGCTGTAAAATGGACCTCAACTAGCTCCAGCCTCAGTGGACCAAACTAGATGACCCATGCACTGGCCTATGTTAAGGGCTCAACAACTTTCAGCACCTATTCTTGCCATTGGTGCTGGCTGCAGGAAGGACACACCAGTGTGGCTCTTAGAAAGGGGAGGCAGGAGAAGAAAGTGAGTTGGGACTGATCCTGAACCACTGTCTGATACTGAACAAAACCTTTGCCTTTGGTGCCACCGACTGTCAACCCTTATTTAGGCTTGACTGGGAAAATACTGCTGCAAATACAGACTAGCTCATCAAGGCTGGTGATGGATTTGAGAGTACAGTGGAAATACTTAGGCTCTGAGCTCTTGGTGCAAACCAGAGGGAGTCACCAAAGCACTCGATCTTTGTCTATCTCTCTTAGCTTGTAGCCCCTTTAGGATAAGGTTGGCTAGCCCTAGGTTTGTCTTTCCTGCTAGGGACCCTTGGAGGGAAAGTCTCATTTGTCACTTTCACTTCTGTGTCTCTAGTCTCTTGACCTGTGCCTCATTCTGAACTAGCATTCAAAGTGCTTGTTGAAGGAATGAATTTGTGTCCTAGTTATAGCCTTGACTTCCACCAGATCCTCAAGAATTGCCCCGATTTTGCAAACAGGAGCGACTACTCAGGGAAACTGAGGCACATTTGTAGGTTAGAGTCCTCTCCATCCCATCTGTCTGCGGTGATACACGTGCATCCTTATTAACACTGGGGAATTGGTTTAGTCTGCTGGAAGCTGTAAATGAGGATTTTGTCTTCATTTGAATTCCTGCTCCAGTTCTGGAGGAGAACTCTCCTCTCAGGCTGGGGTAAGGGGAGAAGTGAGCTCAGATACCACCTCTTAGTCATTAGGGGCTGCAGAGGGCCCCTCCTTGATGATATCTTCTCAGCTGTTTGCAAAACAGCCAGGGAAAGAGATGAAGCCCTGAGCCAGGCAGCCTGGCTGTCTCTTTAAATGCCGGGGTCTGTGTGGGAGAGGGAGGGGCCAGCTCTGGAGTGCGTGAAATTCCTGGGCTCCTCCGGCAGTCTCAGGCTCAGAGCTCAGCCCTACACATCTCCTCTTGCATGCAACTCACTGAGAGGGAGAGACAGCGTGTCCTCCCCTCTCGCAGCCGCTGGCATCTGGAGCCACCAGGGACCTGCTTTTCGCACCTCCAATACCCCCTCCCTTCTTCCCCGCCACTCCCTCCCAGAGAAAGAGAGAGAAAAAAAGAAAAGGAGAAAGATTCTGGAATTTGAACCTTCCCAAAGAGGAAACACCCAGAAAACTCAGTTGATTAAACATCAAACAAACAGACAGATCCCAACTCTTCTGTTCAACTGGAAAGGTAAGATTTTTGGGGGGAAAGACAGGCAGGCAGGATGAGAAACAACTCCAGGTTCTGTCTGTTCTGGGAAGAGGTTGCTCTTGCTCCTGAGAGGGTAGAAGTTTTCAGCTGGGAGCGACCAACCTAGATTTTTTTTTTTTTTTTTTTTGAATGCTGGATCCGAGAGGCTGACCCCGGGAATGGCTTTTCGACTCCTTTTCTTTTCCATCAGTTTCTCCTGGAAGTTGGGTCCTTTTGCTTCAGATGTTGGAAAAGTCAGAGAATGTTTGAGATTGAATAGCTTCGTCTTTCTTTTTTTTTTCTTTTTCGAGTCATTCTCCAAATATTTGCTTGGATTGTTGGTCTTAAAATGATGTGTGCTGGTCACTTCGTTTTGGGTAGATACTTTTTTGACATTTCGAAGCCACTTGCTCTCCACCCCCCTCTTCCCTCTCCCCTTCATGGGGAAGGGGGCTGGTCAAAATGAGAAAGAGAAGGGACACTCTGGGATCACCAGAAGACAAAATAAAATTGAGACAGGGATTTCCCTAGCTGTTGAGGAATGGAGGTATGTATGTTGAGTATGTGTTGGGTTTGATTTTTTTTTTTTGGGGGGGGGAGGGTGTGTGAGGAGGTTGTTCTTGAGTCTGAGAATTCAGGTTGGACTCCTGCTATCTTGTTGTGACGGTGGGCACACTTGGGGAAGGTGAAAAGGAAGTGTGTGAGCGGTGGTGTGTGCGCTCCTGTTTGGATCGCTTACAAGGGAATCTTCCTCCTCTGCCTTCCATTTGTTTATATTAATGATTTAGTAGCAGCCTTGCCTGAAAACTTCCACTATGTGTAAGCACTGTGGGTTTTGCAAGCTCTCAGTGACCTTAAAGACTGGTTCGATGGATTGTTATTTCAAGGCTTTGTGCTGTTCCCAGAGTTTCGGCTCTTTCCCTCTTTCTTTTTTAACCACAAAACTTAACTGCTTTAGAAACATCATCCTGATGACAAGGGAAAAAAAAAAAAATCTGTCCCCCAGCCCCCATCCCTTCCCAGGCCAGTGATGTAATACCAACCTATGGGCTCGGCTGCTTTGCAGGTGACTTGCCCTGTGATTACTTGTTAAAAAAAATAAAATAAATTTCTCCCTTCCTCCATTAAATGCCTACCTCTTTTGATCTGGATGCAGAAATATCATCATGCAATGAAGAAAATTATGTATTCTTTTGCGAACCATTATTTGGGTTTAGGTAAAGTAGGTTTCCTCTTCCCTGATCTTTATTTTTATTTATTTATTTTTTAAATGCAAAGGTCAGAGATCATTGAGAGCTAACCACTCGGATCAAATAAGATAGCTGGTAGAGCAGGAGCTGTCTTCTCCCCGCTTCCTCCGGTTAATTCCCGCTTTGGGGAGATAGCGTTTCTTTTGCCACCAAAAGCCACCCCAACATTCTGAATTCTTTCTCTGACCTGGGTCCTGAGGATGGCTCTGGGAGGGCGAGGGGCACTCCTTCTCACACCTGGAGGACGGTGTGGTTTCGGGGGTCAGATGACCGTTTGCCTTTGTGATGAAGGCTCCAATGGAAATTTGAACTCCCAGCGCGCTGGGTGACTTGGTTCCTGGGATAGTCTATCTGGGGGCACCTGGAGGTTAGTCTGGGGAGCCTGAAGAACTGGCCTTTCTCAATTTGCTCTCTGGATAGAGCCTCCCTTCCTCGTTCAAGGGCTTCTGCATCGCCTTTCAAGTTACAATGGTCCCGCTGGTTATGATGGGCAAGTTTACCTAAGGGCTACTGGGTACGTGTCGGAAGGATGGTGGGGAGAGAGACGAGGCAAAGCTGGTATTTCTTTTTTTTTTTAATCTTCAGACTTAATCTGCCTAAGTCCTATCGGGGTGAACGATATTTCAGACGGGTGCTAGTCGTGCAGAGATATTCCTATTGTTTGTTCTTTTTTGTTGTTGATGGGGAGTGTAGTAAGGGCTCTTGGCCCATTTTCTGCAGCCCTGGGCTCAACCTGCGAGCCAGTCTTCCTGCTGGAAGAGGGGGAAAGCTGGACGCTGGAAGTTCGCTATTAAAGTGAGCAACAGGGCTGGGTTAATTTTTTTTTTCTTTTAAACAACCGGACTGTGCGAATGCCCCTTTCTGGAGCTTTCCAGCCCTTTCTAGTGAAATTATAATTTAAGAAAATTGCTTCTTAAGAAGGGGAAGCCAGAAATCAAAGGGATTCTAGATTTTGAGAGACAACTACGTCTTTGCTTCTCTGGTAGCTCCCTATTATTAATTATTGGGGGTTTGACGGGGGTCTGGCCTCCGTTTCTGTTGATTTCTTTTTAATGCTGCGTTTCTACTGACTATGTTGATGATTTGCTGCTTATATAAGGGAAAGGATGTATCGAGGTGGATTGATGCTTGGGGTTTTGAGATCGGCTACTGAGATTGGGTGGCGGTTGGTGTGTTTGTCGATGTGCATGGTAGGAAGGTCTTTTCTTTTGGGTGGTGGGGGACAAGGGAATGGTGGGAGAATGGTAGATGAGATGCTCCAGCGAATGGGAACCTGGGGGGACATGGAGGTGAGGTCGGAAGTCACCGGTTTGCAGAATTTCTGTCCTGCATCCCCTGTTTCTCTCGCTTCTTGGGAAAAAAAAAAAAAAGAAATCCATTATCTCTAAAAACACATTATTCCTCAATTGGCCTTTTAGAGGGGAAAAAAAGGAGAGGGAGGGGAGGAGGTAATTTGGTGAGGGGGCTTGGTTGTAATTAGCCCACTGCTGCAAAAGTGAGATACAGAAATCCATCGGCATCAGCTTTGGGGGCACGAGAGGCAGCGGAGAGATGGGGGACGGGTTGTCAGTCTTGGATGAACAGTGCAGCAGTGGGGTTGGTGTTTGGGTATTGTGTGTATTTGTGTCTCTGTGTGTGTGCAATTTTTTTCACCGCACCACCGATTTCCCCCTCCATCCTCCCCCAATTCTGCCATGATCTTGCCTCCTATCTCCACACACTGTCCCCCCTATCCTATACACCCCCTCCCCCTTTTCTCCAGCCCTTTCTGTCTCCATGAGAAAAATTCTGATTCTGATGGCTCTGCGGCTCTTTTTTTTTTTGCAACACAACAGTGGTGCGATGGCCTTTCCTACATGCCACACGGATGCAGCCTTCTGATAGGAGGGCTAAGTCGGCACATCCACACACGCACTGGCACACGCGCTTGCACACACACACACACACACTCTTACATACGCGGCCGACCAAGGGCTTGATTTTGTTTGGTTTTGTTCCCCTTTACCTCTTTCCCCACCTCTACGTCCACCATGATGCCTTTCCCCCTCCTTCACAGGGGAGAATGCTGTAATGTTAGGGCTTCATCTTCTCCTGCAACCGCTCTCTTCTTTCCTCTCGCCATTATTCTTTCCCGAAAGCTGTGGTGTGTCGCAGTTTCATAGGATTTGCATGTTGGAGAGTCTTTGGGGGAGGGGACCTCATGAGGAGGGGATTGGAATGGGGGTAGATGACATTAATGATTTTTTTTTTATTTGGCCAAATAAGCACCCGGTGATAATGATCCAATTTAACCATCCATGAAATCTATGTTTGCGGCACATTGGAGGAAGGTTACAGGGGAAGGCAGCATCGGGACTGGGTTACCTCTGGGGAGGTTTGATGCCTGGAGAGTAGACACAGCCCCCTCCCCATGCACATGGGTACTCGCCCTCACACCCCCACCACACGCAGCCCTGATCAGTGGGCTGTGTCAGAACAGAGGGCACTGCAGAATCGCCCAGCACCTCGTCGTGGTTCTTTGGGAGGATGGAGTGATGTCTTTGTCCTACCCAGCTCTCTGCTCTGCTCTACGGATGATGCCGGGTCTTGACATTTTTGGTCGGCCTTCCTGCTGCCTTTCGGGTGGGGGCTGGAAGGGGATCTGTGTGTTATTAAACAGTGGTGTGCCTCCAATCGGACTCCACGGTTTCGCCAACCCGCTGTGTGGTTCGGGCAGTAGGCTGCCTGTCTTTTTGTGCCGTGTGGCTGTTGTGTGTTGGATGTGTATGTAAGAGTGGCTCTGGAGAGGTGTGCTGGCCATCAGGGGAGATGGGCAGAACGCAGGGGTGTGTAGCGGAGGGACAGGAGAATGAAGTCTTCAAAGCAGTTGAGAAGAAGGTAGAGGGGGAGAGACTGCTGTTGTCTCCAGCAGGAAGCCTCAAATGAGATCCCCACGTCCACCAAGCAAGTCCGTGGGCGGGTGAGCTCATGGATGATGGGTGGGCGGATGCAGACTGAAGGGGGAGAAGGGACAAGGTGGGTGAGGCTGAGGGTTTTCCCTGCCCCTTGCCAGAGCTCTGGACTGAGCTCTGAGGACAGCCTCCTCTCCCGGGCCAGCTCTCTTGAGCAGCATGGCCCTGGAGGCTGCAGCCTGAAGGAGCCCATTGCCCTTGGCCGTGAGAGCAGCTCCAGCCCCGGTTCTCCGGGGCTCTGGCTGCCTTAACTACAGACGCCATTTTTCTCTTCTCCTTCAGCTAGCACTCTGTCCCTCTTTATTAGCAATTGTGAGTGAAATTGGAAAACATTTTGCTTTAAAGAAAAAAATATATATATCAGAGTAAAATGTTGATTATCTCACCTTTCTGTCATTCTTCTCCCTTCCTGGGGCTGACCTTGAGGAGTTGGGGAGAAAGGGTTACGTCATTGCCAGAGAAAGGGGAGAAATGGGGAGTTGGATGCCTCAGAGGTGAATTGTGCCCAAATCAGAGAAGGGCTTGCTCTCGGGACCCCCTGGCCCTATTCTCCTTACACGACCCTCCAATGTGGGTGGGAGATTTGCAAAAGGGCAATCATCCTTGCCACAGCTCTTTGCCTAGAAATACACCAGCTGGGTGCGTCTGTTCCTGTGGTGGTCCAGCCCTGTGTCCCCAAAATATGTACCAGCTGGGGAAGAATGGTCGCACTGCAGCTCTGACCCTTGAGGGCCAGCTCTGGCTGCTCTGCAGATAGAGTGATGCAGCTGTGTGACAGGGCCAGCCACAGGTGGCTCTG